GCTGTTGAGTCAGATCCAACTCATAGCGAACCTTCCTTGGGTTTCCGAGGCAGTATCACTACAGAAATAGATCACCCAACCTTCCTTCCGAGGAGGGGCTGGTGGGTTTGAACCTCCTGCCTTCTGGTTAGCAGTCAAGTGCCTTAGGCACTATGCTACCAGAGCTCCTTGAGGAGCTTATAGACAGATGCTAACATAAATGCTGCTGGGACATAAAGAAAGAGCTCTGGTGGTGCAGTGGGTAAGGCATCTGGCTACTAACCAGAAGGTCGGCAGTTCAAACTCACCAGCTGCTCCAGGGTATAAGATTAGAATTTCTACTTCCATAAAGATTTACAGCCTTGGAAACCCTATGGGGGTCACTATGAGTTGGAACTGACTCGATGGCAGTAGGTTTGGTTTTTTGGGTTTTGGGATATAAAGAAAGCATTATGTAATTACACAAACGATATTGAAAATAAATCAGAACTGACAAGACAAAATGTATTGGTTCCGGATCTTATAGCCTCAAACCATTTGCTTTTGAATACACATAAACTTTCCATAAAAATAATGGACTTTATAGTTTATTTATTGCAAGGGTAGGTAGGCTGACGTAATAGATGAAATGTCTGTTGCTACATAAACCTTCATATTCCATCATAAAACACAGGCAATTTTACTTAAACTGTCAGTAATATCATATAATAAGTGAACATATGCTCAAAAAATTGTTACATATGTGTTATTGGTATTCACTGGAAAATTTTCATCCAACCATGATAGGCAACCAACATTCAAAATATTTATATATAAATACTACATATCATGTTAAAATTCCAAATTTGTAAATGCAAAACATTAAATAAATAATGCTATGAAATGTCCTTTCTCTCTCTGTGTGTGTATGTGTGTGTGTGTGTGTGAGAGATGTAGGGGAGGGGCACTACAAAGATACTTTCTCTATCCAGGTATTGGTTTTCTTTTTTTCCTCAGTATCTTCTGTAATTCTCCTGACTATATAAAAGGAGAAAGTTCCAATTAGGTACTCATTGTCTTTAATACTTTTAGAATGGATTATTATCAAGCAAGGTGGACGGCTAACCTATTTATTCAAAAGCAGCCTTAGAGTCCAGGCTTAAGAAACCACAAGCAATTGGTAGGGAAAAAGTAGAAGGCAGCATTACCCTAAAGAGCAAAAGAGTGATGGATGGAGTAGAGATGGATGGATACTTAGAACTCACAATGAAAACTAAATCAAAGCATTAAGCAAAATACCTTACTCCTGTCAGGCTTAGGGGAGCTCTGGTGGAGCAGTGCCTAAGGCACTTGACTGCTAACCAGAAGGCTGGCGGTTCAAACTCACCACCCTCTTCTCGGAAGGAAGGTTAGGCAATCTACTTCCATAGTGATTCCGCCTCAGAAACCCAAGAAGGGCTCGCTGTGAGTCTGGTCCGACTTGACAGCAGTGAGTTTGGTTTCTATCTATCCTCTTTCCCCTTCCACTCAACAAGTGCTAGACTACTGGCTGACAATACTCAAATCTGTTCAAATGCAACACATTTCAGATTTTTCAGATCTGTTTCAAATGCATCATGCATCCTGGTTTCTTCCACAGCCCAAATATCTAAGTCATAACGTTTTCTCTATGTTCTTTTAGTAGTCTGTGTAATCCCAACTAAACCTTGGGATTCTGACCTTCTTTGGGTCAGAAGAGAGTAAAGATTTCTATTTCACAAGTAAAACACTATAGTGATTTATTTTTTTTCTTCACTTGTAAAATGAGAATAAACAGTTATTGTGAGGACTAACTAAAATAAGGCTTGTTAAGTGATTAGGACTTTGCCTGGCATGGAATTGTTCGATGACTGTGAGATATTAACATCACAAAAGACAATTTATATGAACAGACTAATCTTAGAAGAGTTAGCATTCGATGCTAAGTAGTACCAATTTTAGCTTAGGTACCTGGCATACATCCAATAAATATGGTTTGAAACAACAGATTCCTCTTGAAGTTTGTTACACAACTATTACTCAGCACTAACCAGACAGATACAAATACATTCCAACCTCCTGCCACCTTCCTCCCAATGCCAAGGCCTGACTCATTTCAAAGCATACTTTTATTAAAATCATTCAGGCAAATTGTGAATAAAAATGTAAATCTATAAGGTACTTTATATAGATATAAGAAAATATAACTATTTCCAATCATTTTCTTAGGGAACACTTTGAACGTACAGGGACTATGCAGCAAGCATCTGTTTGATAGTTATATTGTTCAATACCAAACTTTCTGTATTATAATAATTATAATCTTTGGATTAAAAAGACTTTACTAGCATTTTTTTCCTTCTCATTTTATCCTCTTACATTTACACATAAAACTAAAATCATGAAAGGATAACAACAGTTTCCTTTAACATACAACTTCCTAAACTCCATCCCAAATAAGCAGAAGTAGAAAACAACTGTCTATTTGTTTTCTAAAACTGTTTCTGCAGATTAAACTACTATAGCTAAAACCACTTTCCAAGATTTTGTGATCACTAGCGTCACACAGAATCAATCTGCCTTGAAGAATGGCAGCCAAAATGCTCCTTGGAAGTGAGAATGGCCAGACTTCATCTCACCTACTTTGGTCATGCTGTCAGAAGGGACCAGTCCCAGAAGAAAGGTATCATGCCTGGTAAAGTGGAGGGTCAGTGAAAAAGGAGAAGGCCCTCAACAAGGTGGAGTGACACAGTGGCTGCAACGATGGGCTCAGGTATAGCAAGGACTGTGAGGATGGCACATGACGGGGCAGTATTTCATTCTGTTGTATATAGGGTCGCTATGAGTCAGAGCTGACTCAATGGCATCTAACAACAGAGTTTCCATGTGACCTAGATTCAACCAAGCAGATGTGCTGAATGAAGATTTGTGGGGAGGAACTGACCAATATGAAATATGACTTGGGGGGCAGGCTGCACAGAACAGATGGTAGTGAAGGGTTATGGCTCTTTTGGGCTTGTCAGTGGCAGCTACCACTCATGGAGGCAGTTGAGTTTAGAGGGCCTACACTGGTGAAGGCAGCTTTTTATCCAGCAGGCCAGTGCTAGGGTGTGGCTTTAGGAATTTTTGAAAATACAGTCTGTTCCTTCAGGTCTTATTTTATTCTTTTTAATAAATCCTTTTCTACTTAGACAAATCATTGGATTTTGTTGTCTGAAACTAAGAATTATGATGAATAAACCAAAAAATAAAGATTACAACGAAAGTCAGTGTCTCTGTCTATATAAAGTTCAAAACTATGTGCAACTAAAATAAACACAATTTTTGAGATTTTTCACTAGAGTTATACATATGCTCCACTTTGATTTACACGATGATCATGTGATTTTCAGGATAAAATAATAAGATATAAAATATTATTATTTAATAATACTGATAACATGACAAATAATTTCTTTCTAAGCATTCCCTTTTAGACTGATTTTCATTAATCAAGATGGTCTGTCCTTTCTCAACTCTAAAGTACTACAATATTGAAATACAGAGTGAATCTAGTAAGCCTTTAGTTTGTAATTTCAATTAATCAAATATAAATAGAATAGAAAATCTGGGGAAACGAGTAAGGAGAATGAAATTTTGCTGTTCATTAATTAAACAGATGAATATAATGAATACCCCAAAATCATAAATCTGGAATCTAGATATATAGCTTTTAAAAATTATAAAACTAAATTCCAGAGGCGTTGATGAAAAAAAAATCCTACCTGGACACAAAATGCACCATTTATGAATGAAAACGACCATATTCACTTGTGCTTGGTATGGAGACTATAAAGATGAAAAAGAAAACATTCCCGCCCTTAAGAAACTTAAAAATTGTTAAAGGGTGAAGAAAAAAAAAATTATAGAACTAACTTCACCTAAAAGTATTCCTCAAAACATCAAACCACACTGTTTGTTAAACTCACGTGAACATACAATAATTACTGGATCAAAATTAATTAATTTTAAAGAAGCCATCAAGTCTGCATGTTAATCTGAACAAAATGTTTAAAAGAGTCATATTAAAGAGTCAGAGTTAACATGATTAAAATGTTTTACACATCATTGTTCATAATATAATTTTCATAAAAATTTTAACTTTCAAAGATATGATCAGTATTTTTAAAATGATAGGATTTTTAAATATTTTCATATCACTACCATCTATATAAATTCTAATTTTCTTTAGTAAATGCCCACACTATATCAACATTTTAAGTCTCCCAATAAATATAAAAATCATTATCTTAATATTAACATACATTTAGAAATTCTTTAGAAATAAAAATATTAGTATTTTTTAATAACCTAATATTTCTGGCTACACTGCAGGTACTTTCACATACATTATCTTATTAACCAGTATAATAAGTTTTTAAGAAAAGAATAATTATTCTTATATTTCTTAAAGCTGTTGAAAAGTCTAAGATACAGATTATTTAGATAACTTGAACAAAGTAACAAACTAGCAAGTGACAGAACCAAATGTGAATTCGGGTCTGGCTTATTTTTTTAAAACCCATGGTTGTTTTATTATACTAGGTTGATTCATTAAAAAATGGTAGATTGATATTAATTAGTTTTCATAAAAATTATGAAGTATGTTACACTAAATAAACATTTTATTTCCTTCTAAATTAAGTTTTAAGAGTTTGGGGTGGCAGTCACTGGGAGTAAGACATGAACTTTTATCTTTGAAGATGAAATTGAGTGCTTTCAATATGATAGATTAATGGAGAATCTATAAAGAAAAATCATTATGTAAACATGATCTCCTAATACTTTCTCTATTGAACTGTACTAACTTTTTTGAGGTTTACTGACCTATTAAAACAGATCTGCTCAATGGCCAAGTAAAGGCAAAAATGGACTGTCAAAGGCAATAGTCTTTTTCATTTATCACAAGCCTGGTAATTAATGCATTAGCCTGCCAATCAACTGCACTACTAGTCAAATTGTGAAAGTAGATTTAAATAGCTTACCGTGCACACTGAAGTCTTCGTTATTTTCAGGGTAAAATCTGAAGAAAACTCCAAATCTGAGATAGATGTTGTATGGCAATCTATATGCTACCCATTAAAAAAGGGGAGAGGTTAGTAAAAATAATGGAAAAACCAAGATGAACATTACTTCTTTTTTTATGCAAAAAGGATTACTATAAACCAGTGTTTTGCAAAGATTCACATGACTTTTAGGATTACTCCCAAATCTGAGGGCTACCAGCATTATTATTTAGTTAATATTTCTTTAAATCAAATTAGTATTTTCCACCCAACCTTGTTATAAGCAATACTATATATCAAATTGTGATTTTGATGTGGCAAAGTTTTTCTAACACACACTAAAATAGTACATAACTATGCAAATACAAACATGCTTTTCTGTGTTCTACCTACAAGTTTGGATCTTATCGTCTATACAAAATCTGCCTCTTCTTGGAAAACATGCTATAAATCTGTGGTAATAGTAAACATTTTTATAGGAAATATCAGCTTGAAAACATATGCTAATGAAGAGGACAAGTTATTTTCCTTTTTTCAGAATTCATTTTCGTAACAGCATCTGAAGAAAAGTTTGTTAAGATATAGGAAAACCATAACAATTCAAAGCAAGCAGCAAAGCCAGTTACAAAGAGTGCTTATTTTCCCATTCTGCCCTGGTTCAAATCCTCCATTTCCTTTGAAGAGTGGATGGAATCTGAATGTCAATTACACTAGCCTGACTGGAAGTGTGATGTAAATGCTGTCAGGTGACTTGCCATTAGCCAATTATTACACAATGAACACAATGCACACAACATACGACTACATAAGTGGGGCATTACTCTATTTAAAACAGTTTTTTTTAATCACATAGTGAACACAATTCATACAACATATGAGTACATAAGTGGGGCATTACTCTATTTAAAACAGTTTGAAAAAAATCTTAAAAAGTAAAACAAAAACAAAGTCAGAATGTTGTGCTTTTATTTGTTAGAGGACTGGGGAACATAAAATTAACTTTACTTAAATAAATAAATAACATTAACAACAAAGAAGAAAAGGGGTATGTGTTATGGACTGAATTGTGTCCCCCTAAAAATATGTGTTCTAATCCATAAACACCCATCCATATCTGTGGAAGTAATCTCATTTGGGAACAGAACTTTTCTGTTATGTTAATGAGACTATAGTAGTGTAGGGTGTGTCTTAAACTCAGCACCTATGAGACATAAAAAAAGACTAGGCACAGAAGAAGGTAGTAGAGCGAGGGGAAGAGAGATGCCATGCCACAGGAAGACACCCAAGGAAAAGAAGCTTAAGAGGCAGGGAATGAACTTCCCCTAGAATCGGCAGAGAGAGAAAGCCTTACCCTAGAGCTGGTACCCTGAATTTGGACTTTTAGCTTTCTAAACTGTGAAAATAAATTTCTGTTTGATAAAGTCACTTACTTCTGGTATCTATTATAGTGACACTAAGAAACAAAGACAGTATGTATAGTTTTTAAACACCTTCATTTCTCAGTCCTAAATTTTCTATTTCAGCTATTTATTCATAGCTGTTTTTGGCATTAAGCAAAGAGGTCACCAGAGAACCAGTCCCCTTTCTTCACTTTCTGCAAAGTCTTAAGGCTGAGCTGGCTATAACACACACTTCTATTCTGAGCCAAAGAGCCCAAATAAATCCCTAAACACTATCAATGTACCAGAGCAATGAACAGACCTACAATTATCCAGCTGGCAGTACTGTTTCTCTTCTTAAAAGCTGAATGCTATTCAATCAGCAGGCTTTTGTTGAGAAACTGTACATGTTTATTACTCAATGCTAATTTTCAATACTTTAGATATTTAAGAAAATTAATAAACATTTACTGAATATCTACTTTGTGTAGAGAATAATTATTGATGCTATGAAAGTAATACTGTGACTAAAAAGAGGAAATGCTATTCTATGCCTAATGCTGAACAAACTATATTTATTTAACTGTTTAGTTGAAATAGTTTTAAGACAAGCAATATGACTTTTCACTGCAAAGTTATTACTCACCTCATGTAAATTTGTTACAACAATCACAATAAAACTAGAGATTAACATTAGAAGGAGTAAGATAATAAAACACAAAAGGAATTAACTGAGAAACCTGAACATAGTAGGGGGCTTTATTTCCACGGGCAAATTCACTGTAATTACTTAATCCGCAAAGGCTGGAAGCAATCTGAATGAGAGAAGTTAAACTCAGTGGAACAGATGATGAGTGAATAATGTGGCTGTTAATGAGAGGCTCGGATAAAGCCAGGAGGTGGTGAGGAAGCATAAATGACAATACAGCAGCCTTAACCAAACCAAAGTAAAAGGTTTGACCTGTTCAGAGTTAGCTTTGAAGTATTATAAAAGTGAGTGTAAGGAATTTCAATACATAAAGAGAAGTGATTGCAAAGGAATGATACAGACAACTGATAAAAATTATGACCTCAGGATGTTTTGCTGTTGTTGTTATGTGTCATCCAGTCCAACCGACTCACAGCGACCCCTCCTTGGGTTTCGGAGGCAGTATCACTAGGGTAGTAGATTGCCCTATCTTCCTTCTGAGGAGTGGCTGGTGGGTTTGAACCGCCAGCCTTCTGATTAGCAGTCAAGTGCCTTAGGCACTATGCTACCAGAGCTCCCTCAGGATGTTTTAGACTGATTAAAATTGGAAGAGTTATTACTGTTTGAAAGTTATTACTGCCCATATATAAAGTCAACTTACTGAATGCAAATACTAAATTCACAAATGAAAACTAAGAAAAATGGCAATACTGATATAAAAGAGCAAAACTGGTAAAACACTTACCTTAATACAACAAGGGTCTGAAGTAAGAGTCTTTGGATCTAAAACTTCCACAAGAGCTTCTGGAATAACTGCTTTTTTCATGCAAGACATATTGAAGCCATAGACATCATTCCAAAAGGCAATTCTATCAGCATGTTTATTCACATCACTCACTGCCACAAGACTTATGGTGCAAATGTCAGGATAGACTGTAACAAATAAAATGCCCAACAATTCAGCATTAGCTCCCTATGACAGCATAGGATTCTTTTAAGGCTAAGTATGGATTATTAGCAATGGGGGAGAAGTATTTCCCCAAATTAATGAAGGTGTAGATCAGGGAAAATAACCAAGTATCATCTCGCAGCGTCTTAGGAAAAGAAAAAAAAGATACCCATTATCATGATGGTAAAATTAAAATAAGGATTCCAATTATGACTTCCAATTATAAAAATTAAAATAAAGTAAGTAACATAAGCCATTCTGAAATGAACATATTTAAAAACATTAAAACTTATACTGATTTTTTTAAAAAAGGTACTGGATCCTTACT